CACTCACTTGAGATTCTGCGGTGGTTCCCAGGTGCTCTCTGAGTCTGGGTATCTATGCCATTCCCCCCCCCCCCCCCCCCCCAGTTTAAGCAATAAAATTTTATTGAGAATTCCTGGGATGGTTGTTATCTCCCAATTTCGAGGGAGGGAACCAACACTGTAGGAAATCACAAAGAAATCACACACTACACACACTATTCAAACACCCCTGGGGAAGAGAAAAGTCATTTCCTTGAAAAAGGGTCAGTCTTCCATTAATCCAAGAGGGGCTAGGAGGGGAGGCACAGAGGATCTATCACATGATACTGGGGCTGGCTAGGGGTATGCTGGACCCCTGGCTGACTCCTTGAAAACCAGGGGAGCAACAGACCCACTTCCTCTCAGGGTGAAGTTCTCGGTCGCCAGGCTCATTTCTTAGTCTTGATGAGGCTGTCGCTTCTTCGAGTGAAACTTTCATCCTGGAGGTTTAACACAAGGTTGTTAGCAGTGAGATAGATACGATTCTGTGACGTGGAGATAGTCTTGGAGATGTTCTGGGCAACCCGGATTTTACGAAGTTTGATGTAGCCAGGGTTCTTGCTTAGTGCTTCTCACAGCATCTTGGCAGCCTCTGCCTCAACCTCCGTTTGCACATTTTTTTGCCGCTGTTCCTGCTTTGCCTTTTCCACCAAGAACTGGGCCCTCTGGGCCTCCTGCTGGGCCACTTGTTTGGCTACTACAACAGCTGTATACTCTAGGCTAAAGCTCTGCTCTGTGATGGCTACATCATCTAGGATGAGGCTAAAGTCCTTGGCCCTCTCCGTCAGCTCCCATAGGATCAACAGGGACACCTGAGCCCACTGGGTGATCAGCTGTGAGGCATTGAACTTGGCCACCACACTCTTGAGCACCTCATTAACGATGGTTGGCAACACTCGCTCATATTCTAGCCCAAGGCTTGGAAGTTCCATGACATTGGGTGGAGATAGCACTCGCAGGGTGATGTTCACCATCTCCAGATCTTTAGAGCCTGTAGGGGAGGAGATTTTTCAGGGTCTGGCCCGGATGTCATAGATGATGGGGTACTAGAACCAGGGGATCCTGAAGTGAAGGTCCTTGGCCAAAATGGTGTCCGGCTGCACTCCACCGATCCGATTAAAGTAGATGGCCCTCTGGCCGCCTTCCTCGGTGAACACGGACTCACAGACGCCATATGCCACAGCGCCAGCTTCAGCTCCATGCCCATGCCCATGCCCCGAGGGCTGGCAGGCCGCCACCCTGCTAAGTCCTTCAAGTTCTGAGCCATGTCCGCGCCTGAGACCGGCAGGACCAGGGGTCAGAAGGGGTGCCGACCCATCTCTAACCCTGCCCCAGTTTAGGGATCACACCCTTCACACAAGGGTCCTAAGCCCGTTGTGCTAACAGGCAAAAGGGCACCAGAAAATTTCCATGCCATTTTACCAGGTAATACTCCTGCTCACGAATCTGCTTGTAATCACACAGGTACTCAACTTCAGAATCATAGAGGTTCCTCTTGGAGATGCCAAGAGACAGGCAGGAAAGCTTGGCCAGGCAGCACAGGTCCTGTAGCTGGTTCTAAGACTTGGCAACACACGCTGCAACCTTTTATATTTTCCACCATCTTTCTCTACGGCTAACGACCGGCCTCGCGAGAAGAGAGCTCGCTGATTTGTACCATCTGTTTTGAAGGTTTTATAATGCTGATTAGTGGGGAATACACAGGGCATTCTGTGCTCAAGGATCATTAGTTTTGCCTGCTCTGCTCTGTGATCAGTCCGTTCATATTGCGTGCCATTAAAGAGCCATGAGAGCTCTCAGCCCAATTCTCTTATTTCAGAAGAAACATGAATTAGCTGTTAGGTACTGTCTCATAGAGACCCTTGTATAACAGAACGAGAACCTGCCTGGTCCTGTGCCATCCTCACAATTGTTGTTATGTTTGAGCCCACTGCTGCTGCCACTGTGATAATCTATTTCATTAATTCCTAGAACAGGGAATGGACTGACTTGGCAGAGTTGTCCTGTTTGAAAAGTAATTGATCCTGAATTCAAAACCATACTTTATGACTCCCAATCCAGTGCTCCTTTTAGTACTCTTAGGTGACAATTCAAATGCATGAAATTTACACACACACAGATACTTGCGCTCATAGAAGCTAACCTAATGGCAGTCCATGTGGTTAGAGAGAGCTGCCTGACTGGAGGGGTTCCTGACAGAGAAGTATGTGTTCATGCATGTGTATATATTGCATGGGGGGCACATTACAGAAAACACTCTAGTGACTCTTCTGTGACTTTGAGTTGCAAAAACATCCAAAACTTGGGCTACATGCTAGGTGATGTTACAATTTTTTTTTGCTTTTTCACTTTTCTAAAGATACTCTTCATAAAGGCCTAGCTCCTTGAAACAATGGGATGTGGCAGTTGCTTTTTTTTTTTAAAGTGTGGACTAGCAGACAGAATTTGGGCCTCGAGAGTTTGAAATCCTAGTTTCTAATTTACTAAAGAATGTGACTTTGGATGAGAAAATGACTTCTCTGAGTCTGTTTTTTCATTTTCATTTAGGGAGAATAATGCCTGCCATATCTTTGTCATACAGTTTTTCTGAGGATCCAGTGCATCTGAAAGTACATTTACTCTGTAAAGTACATACAAATACAAGATTTAATACTTGCAAAGTTACTATGGGAGAAAGATCATGCAGAATTGTTACACAGGCATTTTGTCTCTTAGTAAGGATGTAAAGTAGGCTAGTAGGTCCTTGGCCTGCCATCACCTCCCGCTCTTCCTTTATGTCCCAGTCCCTCTTCCAGCTGAAGAGTTGTCTGGCAGATGAGGGAGGGAATACTTTTGGTTCCCACCCAAACGTCAGTTCCAGATCAGGCTGCTTGTCTATTGGATTAGTCTAGCTCACCAGTGAAAGGTTAGATCCTCAGCTGTGGTGGTTGTATCTTTCACTCCTCCACAGACTGGATGAGTAACAGGACTAGACTAGGACAGAAGAAATAGGGATATGAGAATCAAGGGATAGTAGAAAAGAGAAATTACATGAAAATGTACCCTGATGCATACTAGGAAAGGCAGACGCATGAGGGAAGTGGCATGTTGTACTCACATCATCCGATTAAGATATGTGCAGTGCAGAGGATGCTGACCATTACACTGAATCTTATCTGTGACACCCTGAGAAAATGTAACCAAATGGTTTTGGCTTAGAATCCTTTCTGACAGCTTCTAGTCCATTAAAAATACATTAAATGTCAGTGAGAATTTGCCACAGCATTTTATTTTGCCAAGAGGAAAACTTGTTAAATCAGGCCATGCATTTTAAAATTCTCCACAAAATCACTTCAGTAACTTATTTTGTACGTACTGCTATGCAAACCACTATATGCTTTGGAATAAATCACTTACACACACACACACACACACACACACACACACACACGTACTTAGTGTTGTTCTTTTTCAGTTTTCTAGAGTCTTAATCCGAAAAAGTCGATGTATTCCTCTCTCTGTATTTTCTTTTTAACACAAATTACAGAACTGTTGCCACAATATCAAGAAAAAACCCTGTCTTAGAGAGACTGCTTTTAATTTATTTTTGACCAAATGAGACTGGAATCTGGATATTATACTTATTTTGATTTAAAGAGTGAAGTTGAAAGGAAAGAAGAAAACTGGGATTTACTGAAACTTACATCATGCCCAGTATTATATTTTATTTTATTCCATTCTCAGAACAATTCTGTAGTGGGTATTTATGTATGTATTTTATAGACCAGGTTTAGAACAATCAGATAACCCTGCCAAGATCACAAAGCTAACTAACAAGTTAGGGCAGAAATGGGATTTATTTTAAAAGGTG